TGTCTAGGAACCATCTCTGCGTCACAGTTCATCATAGTATCATACCATCGGGCCTGCTGGCGTTGTACTCCTTCACAACTTGGTCCTAGAATATTTTAATCTTCTAGAAGTTCTCGACGATGACATTCTCATTTGTTATACGGAGTATTTAATTTTTCTACACAATTTGACTATGCACATAATAAAAATAATCTATTTGACATTGAACCCAGGGTGATCGAACTCGAACCCGATCTGACCGACCGTTTTGCCAACTCTAGAAGAAATTCAAAAGAAGTTGTAAAAAAAATGAATTCGGGCATGTTTTATACCATGGGAAAAAAGAGTTGAGTGTAGAAAAAACTAGAAAGAACTACAAGAAATTGGAATGAACTAGAAAAACTAGAAGGAATTAGAAAAGATTAGTTTGATTTGCTTCTACCCCTATCCTTTAGTGTCCACCCAATGCTGAATTCAAGGCTCTTCTGCAGTAGTTTAATTTCAAACGTCCAAAAACTTCAAAACTCTCTTTTCTGCTTGAAAATAAAAGTCCATCACCTTTAGGAGAATTTCCTCGGCGTTGGACATATGGGGCCACGTCTTCTAGACGTTGGCATACATGCACTAAACTTTTGGACTTTGGGGTGTACCTGTCCCCAGTGTCTAGGAACCATCTCTGCGTCACAGTTCATCATAGTATCATACCAACGGGCCTGCTGGCGTTGTACTCCTTCACAACTTGGTCCTAGAATATTTTAATCTTCTAGAAGTTCTCGACGATGACATTCTCATTTGTTATACGGAGTATTTAATTTTTCTACACAATTTGACTATGCACATAATAAAAATAATCTATTTGACATTGTTAATTTTTCAATTATATTTTTTATTGCTAAACAAGAAAAAAAGAGTGAATCATTCAACACCAGTAACTTAAGTCAATATCACTCAACAAAGACATAACTTACGTCATTATTTATTTCACAATGTGTGATTGTAAATAAATCATTTTATTAAAAAAATAAAGAGAAATTTACCTAAATAGGACTAAAATATAATGACTTTCTCAATACAGGACCATTTGTTTTTATTTCCCAATGTAGGACTTTTGGTCATTAACAAGTACTACCTCCGTCCCACTGTCTTTGTCCACTTTTGACTTTTAGAACTGTTATCTAAGCACTTTGATTCATCAAATTCTCTCAATGTGTAAGCATAAATATAGTCATGTGTGATCTTGTTTGATTTGTCTTAACATATAGATTATTAATATATAATTTCTATAATTTTTTAATATACAAATTACAAGATAAAATGGATTAAAAAAGTGAATAATGTGCCAAAAGGTAAGTGGACAAAGACAGTGAGACGGAGGGGGTAGTCATTATTCAACTAAATGCATAGCATTACTGGACATTATTTCTCCTACGAGGTCATTATTTAGTCCTATTTAAAGAATAAAAAAGTTTAAGTCCTACATTAGGAAAGTCATTATGTTTTAGTCCTATTTAGTGCAAATTTCACAAAAATAAATAAATAACTAGCAGTGTGTGGGCTATGAACAGTGTTCTTTGTGTAATTCATGGTCCATATTTGGAATCCAATAAAGCCCGGCCCTAAACAATTTGCCAATCATTTTTAAACTTTTCTTTTGGATATCCGTTGGTCTTTTATTTGTTTCTCAATATTTGGGCTAGTTATGTCTGACCTAAAAAGGGCGAAAAATTTGATGCTATTTATATGTTGCCACATTATTTAAAAAAAGTTAGGAAATCAGTCGGTTAGATCGAGTTCCGATTCGATCACATCACATTTTGGTAAGTTTGGGTTCGAATTGAAAATTACATACTCATGATTATTCAATGTTTTTGAGTTTGCGCCGATTCAACAGGTTATGGAATTTATTTTTAGGTCATTTAAATTAAACTAGCATTTGCATTTTGCATTGAAAAATATTGATATGGAATCAAAATACATATATTTCAAACCTCTTAGAATATTTTAATTTCAAATATTCATTACTTTTAAAAGTATATTTAATTTTTTTTTAATATTATAAAAGATTAAATATTTGTCACTTTTGAAAATATAAGATAATTACTCCCTCTGTCCCAAATTAATCTTCTATTTTGAATAAGATGTAAAATTTCTTCTTTTGAAATTATTTTATTTACAAATTGGCAAGAAATAAAAAGTACAAATTATACTATCCTGAATTATGACAAAAGTTTTACAAAAACAAGACATGACAAAAAATATTTTATTTTATAAAATGATCAATAAAAACATACATACAAACATAAGTTATCGAGAGACCGTAATAGTGTATGAGAAGATTTACTTGGGACGGAGGCGAAGTATTTAATATCATTAAAAACTAGTTTCAAAATATAAGTTTATACTTAAAAAATGAGTGATAAGAAATATTAAAAATAACCTTATTTTTATTACATTTTTACATATTAAAGTATATAATTTTGAAAAATTCTTACGTTAGCAGATCAGTTAGGTTAGGTTTTAATTTGATCGGGTTTAGGTCAAATTTCTTTGGCACGCCTGCAAGTTTGGGTTCGGTCGAATTATTCATTTTGCACGCTCCCAATCTTTTTAGTTATTATTACAAAGTCAACATAAAATGCTAAATTAATAAATTTATTAGATTTTCTTTTGTAAATTTCTTTTTTGAAACGATATTTCCTCGTGTTAAATTTTGGTTTCTTATTTACTCTATCATAAATATTCACAACAGAATTATAAAATAATTTATTTACAAGCGCACTTTCTAATTTTTTTTAATGATATACAGTACATTTTTCATTGAGTGAGACTACCTTAAATTAACGATTTTGTATAATTTACTTTTTTATGCATGTTCAGCAACAAAATATAAAATTTTTTAGCAAAACATTTAACATTGTCAAATATTCAAATACTTTACTTTTATGATGTGCATGTTCAAAATGTGTAAGAAAAGTAAATGTGTAAATTGAGCACTGTGTAACTTGTAAATGTACACGACGAATATACAATATTACGGCACATTAAAATTTTAATATAAAAATTCTCAAATACAGAAAAAGATGAATATGTTTTTATTCAATTTATTTGAGTGATTTTTTTCTTTTCATGATGTAGCAATTTAATTACTTTGTATTATTTTTTAATTATTAAAAATTTCCGATTCTTTTTTTGAGATACATCACAACTTGTAATTGTTTTAGTCTACACAATGCGACACGAGATTATTTTTGTTGATCGAGATAAACTTGAATTAATTAATTAAAAATTAAATTGCATATTATTAGTACAAAAATAATTTATTTTGTAGAAATTTTTGAAAATATATTTTATTAAGCTAATATATAATATAGATTTAATATATACTCCGTAATTGATTATTACGGAGTAATATTCATCCAAATTTTATTTTAAACAAAGAGACTGTAGAAACGGGACATGGCCGGAGTAAATTTATCTGGGTATAAAAATGCCCAAATGCGGACTCGTCTTCCCATTTTCATTCTCACGCCTGAAACCCGCGCGAATTTTGTTGCAACAAACTCTGTTCCCTTCTCTCTCTCTACAATTTTCAAATTTCAGTCCTTTCTGGTGCTAAGTCGAGATAACCGGAAATGCAATCGTTCAAGTAATGTTCGATTCCTCAATTACTCTCTTCTGCTTAGAATTCTCGTGCAATTTCAATTCGTTAGACAGTGGATTATTGATGTTTTTTTCCGTCTTCGAGCTCAGATCGGAAGAGCAGCTGCAGCTTGTGGAACGAGAAGAGATCGACGATGAAGAAGACCTGTTCGAAGCTATTGATAAATGTAAGTAATGGAGTTATTACTGTATTCAATTATCTCCTCTGTTTAATCCGTTTCCGTTTTCTCCTTATTGTTTTTCTGTTCGCGAACTGCGTCTTCAAAATTTCGATCGTTTTCCGTGGTTTACGAATCTACTTCTGTTCCGGTCTGTTTTTAAATTCGGAATAGATCAAGGATGATCGGTTGAATACTGATTAGTCAATTATGTGATGGAGCTCATATCTCCTCGTTCTAATTTTGTTTCCTGTTTTGGAGGAATCGTCATGTGAAAATTTGGTGCAATTTTATATATGATGAGCTTTTGCTACTGAAATGTGTGAAGTACGTGCTGTAATTCGTTCAGAAATGGAGTGAATCCTTACTAGACTGTTTGGATATTGGCTGACCTGATACAAGCTGCTCAGATTTCTTCGTTGTTTTCATTTTCAGATCATTCCGATTATGGTGATATGTAGCTAGGCTTAAATGCTTCTATTGATTTTGATTGGTGCTCTAGGTTTCCACATTAAACTGCTGGAATGTCATCGCCCGTGATTTGTGTAATCATAATTTAGACATAATGGCTTAGAGAAGTGGTTGAACTTATTGATATTTCAGATTATATGCTTCTATTGAATTCTGTATAGGGGTTCTAGTTTTTGGGGCAGATTGCCGAAGTTTCATGTTCAGTAATTCGTCTTATCCATTGTCATTCCTAATTGCCTAGAGATGTGATTGAATTAAAATTATCATATTGTAGTTTAAACGCAGAAGCAAATTTCCAGTTGTTGTTGTGTTCTATGGAGTATTTGTTTTCTCGTTTTTTTCTGTCACTTCATTTGAAGTATTGAACAATTGAAAGTTCCTCTTTCATGTGCATAACTTCATTCAGCCTTGTTTGTTGAACTTATAAACAGTGATCAATCATGGAATTAATGCTGGGGACGTGAAGAAGCTTCAGGATGCAGGTATCTACACCTGCAATGGATTGATGATGCACACCAAAAAGGTGAGAAGGCTCTTTCCCTTGCTGAAATTTGGCTGTGTTCATTATTTGGTTTTAAGACTAGATCTCTCTTTGTATCATTTGCAGAACTTGACAGGAATCAAAGGACTATCTGAGGCCAAAGTTGATAAGATATGTGAAGCTGCAGAGAAGATAGTGGTTAGGATATCATTTCCTGATAGTCAAAACAATGAAAATTTGAACCATCCTTTGATAGTCCATCCATTTATGCACAGACTAAACTTTCTTCTTTGATATTCTTTTCAGAACTTCGGTTACATTACTGGGAGTGATGCTTTGCTCAAAGTAAGCCTACTAAGCCTTGTATAGTTGTATTTCATTTCAAACAAAAATCCACTGACCTAGCAACATGCATGAGATACTATTATATGATCAAATCTTGCAAATAAGACTTCCCTGAAAGCTGTTACACTGTACCTCTTGATAGGAGTGCATGAATTATAAAGCTTAGCTATGAGCAGACATTGAAACACTTCTTTTTGCAGAGAAAGTCAATAGTTCGGGTTACAACTGGAAGTCAGGCTCTGGATGAACTCTTAGGAGGTAAAATTTTCATAATTCTATCTGATTTTATCTCAGATGTTCAGATCATGGTAATGAACTTCATTTGATAACTTCTTTGAGATCTTTTACCTTTTTGTATTTCTCTAGGGGGGATAGAAACTTCTGCAATTACTGAAGCTTTTGGGGAATTCAGGTGTTTATTTAATTTAAACTCGAAAACATCACTAAACTTTTGCTAGAACAACTGATCATTCTAATTCCTTTCTCAATGAACATTTTGCTTAGATCCGGGAAGACACAACTTGCTCATACTCTGTGTGTTTCTACTCAGGTTTGCTTCTGATCCATATGACTAGAAATCCATGAGAAATTCTATATTTTAACCACAATAATAAGAACTTGGTTCAAATTGCTAATTACTCCATTTGATAATATCCCATTACAGCTTCCTACTAGCATGAAAGGAGGAAATGGAAAGGTTGCTTATATCGACACCGAGGGAACTTTGTATCCTAGTCGAATGTTTATGTACTGATGATCTCCTTCAGTATTCAAGATAAAATCTTCTATTGTGTTTCTCTTATTTCCTTAACTAAAATCACTTGTAGCCGACCTGATCGCATTCTGCCAATTGCTGAGAGATTTGGCATGGATCCTGGAGCTGTTCTTGACAATGTAAAGCACCTTATTCCCGTTATCTCATATAAAGTACTTACCTAACTGAGTCTGATTCTAAATTCTTCTCTCTTCTCTGCCTTATTTTTCCCACAACACGTGAAGATCATATATGCCCGCGCATACACATACGAACACCAGTACAACCTGCTCCTTGGTCTGGCAGCAAAGATGGCTGAAGAGCCTTTCAGACTTCTGGTGATGTCAAAAACTACAAATTTTCAAGACTATTTGGTAACACAGATTGTTTCCTTACATGTTTCTGATGGGAACACAGATTGTTGATTCCGTGATTGCATTGTTTCGAGTGGACTTCACTGGAAGAGGTGAACTCGCTGACCGCCAGGTACTACATATATATTATGACTGTCCAGCATCATTTTGTATTCTTTCGGAGAAGGATGGGTGTCATGATATATGCTTTGGGTTTCAGCAAAAGTTGGCTCAGATGCTCTCCAGACTCATTAAAATTGCTGAGGAATTCAATGTTGCTGTTTACATGACCAACCAAGGTATAATGTATTCTCCTACGAAGCACGTTTTTTACCTTCGTTCGTCAAATTCAAAGAAACAGCTATGCTTATAAAGCGTTTTACTTTGAATTGGCGAGTGCAGTGATTGCTGATCCGGGAGGTGGCGTGTTCATATCAGACCCAAAGAAGCCTGCAGGAGGTCACGTGCTCGCACATGCTGCAACAATACGGCTTATGTTCAGGAAGGGCAAAGGAGAGCAGCGTGTTTGCAAAGTCTTTGATGCACCCAATCTTCCCGAGAGCGAAGCTATATCCTTCCTATTAAACAATATGAGTATATTGTTCAAAACTTTTACATATGCATTTCATATTGTCTTTTGCAATATGAGTATATAAGTAAACATAGAGTAACTAGCTAAAACGAAGGGGCCGTACAAGTTTCCTTGACCAAAAAAAGCACGTTTTTCAGATAACACCAGGTGGAATTGCAGATGTCAAGGACTGAGTGAGGACTCCGGGATGACCATGCTAATTAACTTCATACGCAGTATCATATTGTGATATCTATAGTATATTTTAACGCTTTCAGTCATTGTAAGAAAACTGTTTGAAGAATTCTTTTCTAAAGAAAACTGGGTGTAATTTGCATGATGCATTTTGAGGCTCTTTATTTTTTTCTTCGACAGTAGTTTATTAAATGTCGGAAATGGCTCTCTCACAGTTTACCATAACATCCAGACCCAATTTACATAACAAGTTGGTGAAATGTGGGGGAAGAACAAAATGGAAACGTTGGGCGGGCGGGCGGGCAGGGGGGTGTTAGTACTTAGTAGTGTTCCGACCAGTTTGCAGCACTTCCAACTCTGGGCATACCGGTTGTCCCCTTCTTAGACTCTGAGTCAACTTTGAAGGTGGCACCGCACACATCGCCGGAGCTGTCCACCCTCGGCACAGCCTTCAGCTCATTCAGTGGGTGCTCATAGCTCCTTAAGCCTCCAGAAGATGTGAAAAAGCATCCTGATAATTAAACAAATAAAATAATAAATATAGAGTATCTCTTGGTATAGAGATCCTAAATAACATAGTGACCACCCAACAGTGCAAGAAGCATCAAATGAATGGGGAACCATCAGACCATGACTAGCACCCATTTCAGTTTATACCATTAGCAAATCCTAGACTCATACCAGTGTCATTCTACATTAATGACACTCGCAAAACAACAGGTTCGGTCCGGTGTCCTCTCGGAAACTATATCTCTACCCTTGAAATAGAGCCCTTGAGTCCCCTATTCTTGCCATAGTCACCACCATCATACCAACTTTGATACAACATTTATGATGAAGTTATATTTCTAAAATGCTACAAAAATCATGCACAAAAAAGAAGAAGAAGAAGGTTTCATACATATGTTTTCCACTTCCATATGGAAATAGGTATGCACCAAAGGTTCACACAAGTGGTATCAAAATAATTCAGTCAGAGGATTTAAACAACATAGCCAACAGATAAATGCTCGGGAATTCAATCAAAACATACCCTTGGGAAATGGTGCAAAGGACTTGCCACATCCTTGCTTCACAAGGTCTGCATCATCCGAGAGAACAAGGTGACCTTCAGAATCAGACCCCCAGAAGAAGGGCACACTCCCATCAGCATCCTGTCCCAAACCAATCAAACAATCTTGTTTAAAAATTCCTCTGCAAATTATACATTTCCTTCTATGCAAATACAACAGAAATACTCCTGTTTACTCACAGCTGCTAAGAAGGCAGCCTTTGAAGAGCTGTCGTAGAGGACGAAAGCGAACTTTCCATTGAGATCTCTCACAACTTGATCCGCAGGGTAGGGACCCCTGTCCCTTAAGGTCCTGTATGCCTCTATCACAATGATCACCTCGTTGGCTGCCTTGTTCAGCCCATATTGCTGTCTCAGAGTCGCCACATTCTCAATGTGGCCTTGGAACAAACAGAATATGTCATCCACAACTGCAAACAACCTGACGGGGACGACCACTCATTGTATCAGAATCCAAAACGTCATCGGAAAATCAAGAATCGAGATCTGAAGAAAAGGCCGATGGAAATTCAACGAGATTCAGATTTTAAGAGGAAAAAAAATGAACCTGGGGAGAAGTGGGTTCTGGCGATCGGAAGAGTAGGCGAGGACGCCGGAGTCGCCGAGGTTGACGGAGACGGAGCCGGAGTGAGTGGAGGAGAACTTTTCCGCCAAGAAACCGTCTTTCAGGGCGGACGCCGCCGCCGGAGATCCGTCGTGGGGGCTCTGAAGAGCCTCCGGGCACTTCGCCACCGACTTGTTGAACACTGCGAGCATCTTCTTTGATCGATCTGTGTTTATGGATTACGCTTTCGCTAAACGTCGGAGAAGGAACGAGACAGGGGAACGCGTTGTGAGGAAGGAAAGAGACCATTAATACCGGTGGAATTTATATTATCCGTACTCTGGCGGTTTGTTTCAGCCTCTTAATAGTTCAGATGTCTGAATGATTCAGCATTTAATGGTTCAGACTGTTTGTTTCAGCCTATTAATGGTTCATATGTCTGAATGGTTAAGAGATTTGCCTCTGAATGGTTAAGTATTATACAGAGTCTGAATGGTTAAGAGCTCTTATCTGAATTGATCAGACATTTGCCTCTGAATAGTTAAACAATATACTAGCTCTTAATGGTTCAGACCTCTTACTTGTTCAGCACTTAATGGTTCAGACCTCTTACTGGTTCAGCACTTACCCATTCAGAAGTTACCAAACAGCCCCTTAGAGTAATAATATGTTTGCATTTCCAGAAATACCCTTCCGAAAAGATCATTTTTTTACCGAGCATTGGGAAAAATTATTTAACTCTATCCAAACAAGAGGACAGCTGGACAGTTTTTACTCGGCCGCGAGGATAATTTAAAGTGAAATTTGCGCTGAATATGACTAAAACATAGGTTATTTTTTAATATAATATTTAAACATATGATCCTATTTTAAGAAAGTCATTATGTCCAAGTGAATAATGTCCAAGTGATGCTGGATATTTAGTTGAATAATGACTAATAGATAATAACTAATAAATAAATAAAAACATATGATCCTATTTTAAGAAAGTCATTATGTTTTAGTCCTGTTTAGGTAAATTACTCTAAATTAAAATTAATTTCGTAGATTTTTAATTTTTAGTTATAATTAAATGATTTTAAAAATGTATTAGTATAAAATTCCACCATTTTTAAAATTAATTGACACAATTAAAAAATTATCCAAATGTTAACATTAATTAAAGGTGTTACTCCTAAACAGTCCAAAATCTACAACATACTCGTATTGATTAAAAATATTGTTCTCGGGCAAAGCTATAACGTTTTGATAATGTGACTTAGACCCTCTTTTCATTACAAACTACTTCGTATATATATTCCGTGTATTTTATTTTGTTATTAATAACTAAATAAAAAATTACATTGGATATATGTATAAAATTATGATTTACTTGTAAGATTTATCTTTTGAATCGCCCCTAGATTTTATTGCGATTTCAATTTAATTTAGGTAGTGTTTGACAAATAGCATTTCATTCCAATTCATGCATTTCAATTCCAAAATTTGAAATCTTGAATTTCAAATGACAAGAGAAAGTGCATGGATTTCAAATTAGACTTTGATATTAATGAGAAGAATTTGACTCAAATCAAAATTCCAAATATTTAAGTTTCCCAAACATGCAATTTGAATCAAATCCAGATTTAAAATCTAAATCCATGTTTTCAAACATACCAAAAATATGAATTTCCTTCCAAAAAATAAAATTTATGTTATTGCATTAATACGAGTATGTAATACTCCCTCCGTCCCGGAGTATTCGTCCAGTTTTGACTTTTGGAACTGTTCATCTAAGCACTTTGACTCATCAAATTCTTTCAATTTGTAAGCCTAAATATAGTCATGTGTGATCTTATTTGATTTGTCTTAACATATAGATTATTAATATATAATTTCTATAATTTTTTAATATACAAATTACAAGATAAAATGGATTAAAGAAGTGTATTGGATGGTGTGTAAAAATGAAAGTGGACAAATACTCTGGAGAGTAATGCTAGAGTCACACTACAAGAATTTGTCTGGTCTGCAACGGATATCTGCTACGGACCAATTTCCGTAGCAGATCTGCAACGAATCAGCGACGGAAATATATTTCTTGGAAAAAACGCATCATCTGCGACGGAGTGTTTGTTTCCATCGCAAATCAGCGATGGAATAACGTCTCCTATTGCAAATTCAAGTTGGTCAAATTTTGACCTGGTTATCGGCGACGGACGCTTCATGCCATCGCAGATCCGTCGCAGGCAATTACTAAAACATATCGAGTCCCAGCCATTCGTTTGTCATTAACCCTAATCCCAATTCTCTCTCCGTCAGCCGTCTTTGGACGCCAGCCCTCCCACACCCGTCGACGTCCTCGCCAGCCACGCCGCCGACGCACCCCCTCGCCAGCTCCTCGCCGCCGACGCACGCCCTCGCCAGCCACGCCGGACCCTTCAGCCGCTCCAGCCACGTCGTTCCCCAACCGCGGCGTCCACTAGCTGTCGCCACCCCTCGTCTCCGCCGCTAGTACTCCACCGCCAGCCGTCTCTCTTCCCCCGCCGGACCTCCTCGCAGTGAACTTGGAGGTATTTTTGTGTAATTTTATACAATTTATTATTATTGTAATTTTTGGTGAAATTGAATTTGTTTGTGTGAAATTGAGTGCTTTTTTGGTGAAATAAATTCGTAGCAGATCTGCAACGAATCCGCGACGGAATTGTATACCTCGAAAAAAAACATAATCTGCGACGGATATATATTTTCCGTCGCAAATAAGCGACGGTTTATTGGGTACCGTCGCAAATATAAGGTGGTCAAAATTTGACCTTAAAATCTGCGACGGAACCTTACCCCCGTCGCAGATCCGTCGTAGGTTTAAAGTAAAAAACGAGAGTCAAAATTTTCCAGCCATTCGTTCTTCACTTGAACCCTATCCCGATTCTCTCTCCCCCTCCGCCGTCCTGCGACTGCCACCCCCTTCGCCAGCCTTCAACAACGGTCCCCCACCTCTCCGCCGACGAGCATCCTCGCCAGCCACGCCGGACCCTCCACCTATCGTCCCGCCCAGCCGCGCGACCTCCCCAGCGGCGCCAGCATCGCCATCCGCTTTGGCCTCACTAGCGGCGCTAGCGTTTGTCCTCCCCAGCGGCGCCAGCCGTCTCTCTTCCGGCGCCGACCTCCTCTTCCTCTTTGAGGTGATGTTATTTTTGTTTAATTTATTTTTTTGGTGAAATTGAATTTCTTTGTGTGAAATTGAGTGCATTTTTGGTGAAATTTACTTAAAATTGTGTGAATATGAGATGAAATTGACTTGAAATTGGGTAACAATTGCACTACTTTTTGGTGAAATTGATGGCCGTGTAATTTTAGTTAAAATTGTGTTCGTAAATTTGTTGTTTATTGTGAGTTTAGGTAAAATTTAGTTTAATTTTGTGAAATTGAGGTGATGATAAGTTCATATCTATAGTTGAATGATTGTTGTTTGTGGTTTAATAAG